GGAAAAGGTGCTTTTTGTCCCTCAGTGACCAGAGCCAGGCAGTCTGCAAAGGGTTTTGTTGGCATTTGTTTCAAAACTTCACTCAGACTGCATGCAGGCTGCAAGTGGCTGCACAAACTCTCATGTGCAAACTAACGTAATGTGCGCGCAAGTTCTTTTTTGTGATCTTTCGGATGATGATTGAATCCCATGCGTGGATCCTTCGCCCACGTTCGAAACATTGTTCAAATCAAAAGCACTGGCGCTAGATACAGTGTACAGTATCAAAGTCGAGCTATTTGGCACCCAGCACAGCCATGAAGGCTGATCCCTTTGCAAAAAGCCCCACTCACTAGTACTAATCTTGGCTCTCACACTGCGCAATCCTTGTTGGCAATGTCAGCCCATTGGGCCACCACCAAAGCAATGTCCCACCTAGGGCGGATGGATCGAGATGTTGATTTCGATTTGAACAGCCAACCAACCAACTTGGACCCCAACGCCGCGGAGCACCCGCCATGAACATTCCACGTCAGAGTCAACCCTCCTTTGCCATTGACCTGACCAGCACTTGTTTTCCATTTGTTGGGGGTGCATCAGTCCATCAAAAGAACACGCCTTGAGCGATTTGTTCAACGTCGTGTTGACACTCTTCAAATGCTCCACGTTCACATTGGGAATGTAGAAGCTCCCCGTCAGCCTAAAATCAAAACTAATATATGCATGCACTTTTTAAAACGCAGCCGCTTCCTTGACAATCCAAATTCAATATGCATCGATAAGAGACTGGCAGTGTGGAGATAGGCACGGCTTCCGCAGACGACACGTTATCTGGTGGGTGCTGGGTCCATGACCTAGGAAAACAGGATATCGGATCTCCTCAAAGTATACCACGTGGCCACTACAAGTAGAATTGCATACATTGGGCCCAAGACATTGCAGAGACCAGCCGTTCTTTATTCGGGAGCTCATACATCGATCCCGGCTTTGTGGTCAGGCTCGAAGCTGCCAGAAGATATTTGTTCCTGGTCTCCTGGAGAGGCTTGCTTGGGCGGAGCAGCTGGGACTGGTTGGAATCGTTGGAATGCACACCAAGGGAGGTGAAGAGGACACGCCTTTCTATTGGCAGATTTGTCGATCAATTTAACTCACTCATGTTATTATGACTGCTGAACTATATATCAAAAAAATGGTTCTCTCAATTGGGATGTGTGCCTCATGACCAAACCCAACATTAAACATTGGAATCCTCTGTCGGCCGCCAGGATCTTTTCTTTGCCTGTAGTCCATCCTGCACACAAGCCATGCATAGGATGACAAAGGGGGCACCCCAAGAACACTGCACGTACGGTACTATCCAAAGCTCGATTTGGTCCAAGATCTATATAAAATTACAGTAGAGTGAACCAATGAAACGTGTTCAGTCCTGGCAACTCTCTTTAGCCCTTTCTGCGCCCTTCCCTTCTAAGCCAGCTGGTGCAGCCCCTGGCCCCACTGCTTCACTGGCGCTCGCTGCGGTCTGCTCGACTTCCTCCATGTCCTTCACCTCTGGCTTTGGTTCCTCGACCTTCACGTCTTTGCCTCTTCCTCTTCCCTTTCCTTTTCCCTTCCTTCGACGCTTGTTGGGTTGCTCTTCCTCTTCTGCTTCCCTTTCTGCTTTCATTTTCTTGTCTTCCCTATCCATCTTCTCTTCCATGGACAGATCAGCATCGAGGTTATTTGCTTGTTCTTCATCCCCTTTACCCTTCTTGTTTTTTTTCTGCTGCTTCTTTGCCGGCTCAGCAGGGGCAGGTTCGTCCGCCTCCTCCAAGGTGTCCTTCAACCTTTTTCGCAATTCCCTCTGCTCCTGCAAGATCCGTATTGATGGCCTCATCATCGACAGGAGCGGAAACATTGAGCAAAGCTGGAACCTCAGCCAGCAATGGCTTGCTGTCCCGGAAAGTGCCCTTTTTGGGTGCGGGCTTCTCAGGATCACTTTCAGCCTCAATGTCTTCTTCAACCACACTTGAGGCCCAAATCTTTGCTTGCAAGCATTCCCGAAGCTCATTCTTCGCTTCCGGTGTCAACTCACGATCGAGCTGTCGCAAAGCTGTTTGGAGCTGGCCCACCATTTTCACAGCCTCATCCACACGCATGTCCCTTGGCTTGTCTTTTACCTGACACGGGAAAAAATACGGGATCAGAGTTTGCCACAGCTTGGGAGCAATGCGTTCAACATATGCTGGTGCACAATTTCGAGGACTCAATTGAACGCACTTCAACTCCTCAAGCACTAGCTGACGTAGCCGAGAGTAATTTTGAATCCGGCTAAGTGCCTGGTCCGCCGGCTTGTGAAGCGATGGGGTCTTCTCTTCCTTTGGTGTCTCTTTTGTCTGATTCTCATCTTCCACATTCTTTTTATTTGCTTTCCTCTGATCTTCTTTCACCTGTTCTGCCCGGGCTTTCTCCTCCTCTGCTTTCTTTGCCTCTTCT